CAATGGCAAGAGAAACAACAGAAACCACAAAAACACATGGGATACAGGTGTTCTAAGAGGAGAGTTTATGACAACCTAAATAATTGGTTATGACAATCTACATTTAAGAAAACAGAGAGAACTCCTAAATGACCTAATGATGCATTTTGAGATCTCTAGAAAAATGAGAACAGATCAAACCAAAATTATATGAAAGAATGAACATCAGGGAGGAAAATAATGAAATGGTGATTAAGCATCAATGAAACAAAGCATTGTTCTTTGAAAAGATTAACAAGATTAACAAACCCTCAGCCAAAGTAACCAAAGGAGAAAAGAGATCTAAATGAATAGAATTAGAGATAAGTGGATATTATAATAGATATTGATGAAATCCAGAGAATTATCAAAAAGATCTAGCCAACAACACATTAAGAACATGAGCTGCCAAGAACAAGTTATTTTACATCAGGAATTCATAATAATAAACATAATAAGCACATAAGCAGAATCAGGAGGAAAATCATCTGAAAGGCAGAAAAAAAACCTTTGACAAAACTCAACATCCTTTATAATCAAAGCCCACAAGAAACTAGAAAAGGACCTCCCTTTGCTCTTTTCTAGCTCTTTCTTAGCTCTTTCCTTCTCTTCTCTTTCCCAGCTCTCCTCTCTTTCCCAGCTCTCCCAGCTCTCTTTCCCAGGCCTTTCCCCACCGCGTGGAGGACCAAGATGGCTGGGTGCCCGCCAGAACGATGAATAAACCTTCCCCTTACCTGAATACCACGTGCGTGGTGCAGTTGTTACTCGGCTACCTCTTTTTAAAAACCTAACATAAGGTACCAGAGCCAAAAGGGCAGAGCCAGGATTCTAATTTAAGTACATGGAGAAAGCAGAGAAAGGGCCCTGCTCCTCTACTTGGAGTGGGGAATTACATTGAGAATGTTCACCTGGCTCCCTCCCACCAATTCCAATGGTTTACAGGATCAAGGAAGGAAAATGTACAAGCACAGTTAGAGGACAGGCTTTCAAATCTGACTCACAGTAAAACACCAATAAAAAAAAACTAGAAAAGGAGAAGGAGAACATTTGGAAGGAGGAGGGCCTGCAGGAAGGCATGCACACACATGCCAAAACATGCACACATGCTCAAACACACATACACAAATGCACACACCCAATCATGCTTGCACACATGCATGCACATGGCTGCATACCCCATACATGCCAAAACATACATATGCACGCAATACCTACACACCCCACATGCCAACACACACACATGCAACACATACATACCGGCATACAAATGCACACAAACACCAAAGCACACCTACACATAAGCACACACATGCCTGCACACCCCTACATGCCAACACTTACATATGCATACACACATTTCACACATCCCTATACCTATACACATGTACAATACACTCAGACACATGCATGCAGGCAAACACACTACACACATGTGCACACACGTAGACACAGGCATACAGATATGCACACCTGCACATATACACATACATACACCATACACATGCACACACTCACATGTATACATATAAACACACACACATACACACAAAATGCCAAACCGAATACAGGTCTGTCATCCTCCTCTTTCTCCATTCTCCATATTCAAGCACTAAATCTCCAATTCCATCACATTCTCTTCTGCACAAGCCAGTGGCTTTGTGCTGATGAGGCTGTGAGGACCAGTCACACCAGGCTGGTATTGAGGTCACCTGAGCCCCAAGCATGCACTAAGCTACCCCCTGCCCTGCTGAAGGGTGGCTCACCATCAAAGCTAGGCTCCTTGGGAGCTTCCCCTGGCCTACAACATCTCCTTCCTGTCTCCACCTACTAGAGCAAACCAAAAAGCCAACACAAACACTCGGCTCAGCTGCAGGAAAGCTCAGCTCAGGTCCAGTCCCTTCCCGAGGGGGCCTATGTGTCGGTGCTCACGGCTCAGCCCCGTCTTCAGAGCATGCCCGCACTTCCCACTGTCACCAAGTCTGTCTCCTTTCTCAGCATCACTCTGAACTTAACAGTAGCAACTGCACTCCTGCTCCTCAAGACTTGTTTCAATAAATATTTGCTGACAGAGTGTGAGACAAGAACGCGACAAGGTAAAAACATCACTCTGTTGAGCACTAACAACTATAAATGGTTGAGGATACAAGACACCCCTCTGAATGGGAAATTAGATCTTATTATTGCTCAAGTGTCAGGAAATTCACTTCTGAAAGGAAATCAGTATTACATATGTGATGACAATATAACTACTGAAGGCTATTTTAATATTATCATATATTATTATAGAATTATGATTTTGTTATTGTACATTATTCACCTACTTAAAACAGGAAGGATTTGGTCTTGGAAGAAAACAAAGGGACAATATTTAATAAAAAGACTACAAACACCTAGTGGGGTAAATACTACAATGATAGGAACAAAACAATATTCTCAGAGAAGCAAACTTCTGTGCCATGTATTTTGCATATAAAATCCTGTTTGGTTCTTACCAGGGGCCTCTGAAGGTGGGCACTGCTACACTCATCTTTTTAGAAATATGGAAAACAGCTGGCACCAGTGGCTCATGTCCATAATCCTAGCTACTCAGGAGGCTGAGATCTGAGGATTGAGGTGCAACCAGCCCAGGCAGGAAAGCCTGTGAGATTCTTATCTCCAATTAACTACCCCAAAAGTCCGGAAGTGGTGCTGTGGCTCAAGTGGTAGAGCACTAGTCTTGAGCAGAGCAGCTCAGGGACAGTGCCCAGGTCCTTAGTTCAAAAGGACACTTAGACGTATGGAAATAAAACCCAGACACACAGCTGAGAGCCAGGGGTGGATGGGATCCTGCTGCAGAGGGAAGGTTCCCTGCCTGCATCACACTGCGGTGTCCTGAGTACTGGGGCCCTCTGTGTCCCCATCTGTAACAGGAGGGTGCTGTGGTGGGCCCCCGACCTACTCCCCAGCCCAGCATCTCCATCGACAGGGAGCAAGACCGCTGGAAGTCTGGCATGGTTCGGGAGCAGTACCAGAGTGGAATGGTGCTGCTCATGCCTGAAATACACCAGCAGGTGAGCAGACAGCATCATCTGCAGAGGATGGCCCCAATGCAAAGACTGCTTGGAGTACTTGCTTTGGTTCTGTTACTGTTCCTTCTTTGTCTGACCCTACATAGTACTATTTTCTTAAATTTCATGTCTGTTATGGCAGGAGCTGATTTTCTTTATGGCAAGTGACTTTCTGAATGACATGATAGAATGTATTTGAGATTGCACATGATAACATACACATAGGTTCACTTTTTAAAGGACTGTCCAAAGGCAAAACTAATTCAAGAAAATGTCATGGCAGGAAAACGTCAAGAGGAGAAGCCAAGATACGAAACTGTCTAGAGATGCAGAGTTGAGCCTTCATGGAGAACATTAGGTAGCAACCATCTCCAGCATGGAAAAGGCTCTACTCATAACACCTACTAGTGAAATGCTTTATGTTCAAAACAACGAGCATTAATTCTATGCAAACAAATTTGTACAGAAGATATATGTTCTTGTTGGAGCTATGCCTCCACTTCTGGCTTTTGCTATTTAATTGGAGATAAGTGTCTCACAGACTTGTTTTTTTGTGTTTTGTTTTGGGCAGGGCTGGTTTTGAGCCTCGATCATTTGGTCTCAGTCTTCTGAACCCAGGATTGCAGGTGCACCCACCGGTGCCCGGCTTCGAGGGGATTACTGCAAGGCTGATACGCAGGTGTCTGAGCCTGCCAGCAGTTCTTTTTCAGGGACTCTTGCTACCTTAGAGGTGCCAGCTTATTTGACTACACTTTTTCATGACAAGCTCTAAGACTCTATTTCTTTTAAATTCTAGTAGATGCAGTAAAATATTAACACAATATGCCAAGCATAAACTATTTGAATTTTACAGATTTATATGAGACAGAATGAAATATCCATCATCTAGCACAAATTCTATTATTTCCCAAAGGGGCAGATAAGTGTCAAGGCATAATTATATTCCTTTCTGCTATGACCTCTGAAGATGTATATCTGCTTGAAAATGAATTATTCTTCTTTACTAAAGAACATTTGCATTTCTGTTCTAATATGCTTTTAATGAAAGATTCTTTACAGTTGTTATTTTTTAAAACTAGGGTTATGTGCCTTTAGCTCCCCACCACTTCATCTTCTGAATAGTCTAGCAGTCACACTTGGCTTGTTTCCATCTCTGCCCCTCTCTGAAGACAAATGGGAAGGAGGAGGAAGAAGTAAGGAAAAATAAAAATGAAACGAGAAGTTCTCCCCGCTGGACCTTCCTAGTCTGGCACCTGCTCACTAGGTGTTTGAACCCATAGCTTGGTAAACTTTCACCAGTGCCTTCAGCATCCTGTGGTCCCAGGACACAGCTACTGACAATGCACTGGTAAGTGTGACGGTCAATCTTGTCCACGCCCCTCCTTCCCATGTACAAGCCTGGGCTTCAAACTGGGCATCTTGGAGGGAGCAGATGAGCTCAGCGATACAATCCAAAGTCATGGAAGCGAGCACTGGGCCTTGCTCCTGGGACTAGCCCACACTAAGCCTTTGACAGGGCACTGCTGACACTGCCCCTGGCAGGTCACTCATGGACATCAGCCCTTGCTGTGTGGTGGATAGAGAAGCCTCCATCGTATAGAGAGGCCGCTATCTCATAGAGAGGCCTCCATTGTACGTGAAGGGTCCAGAGGTCAGCCCACCACGCCTGTGATGCTGGTGATGCTGGGTGGGACAAGGAGGCATGGGGACCTTGTTCTCCAGAGCCTGGAGGGTTCCAGAACCAGAGAGCCGGATTAGAAATGGACGGAGTGGTTCTCCAAGTCCTCCCCCACCCAGGGTGGTCATGTGAGGATGAGCTGTGGTCCCACTGACGTGGGCCTCCTCTGCCCTGCTTCCTGCCTGCAGGGCTGCGCAACCAGTCACAATTCTCCATTCTGCAGGTTGCTAGCTAAAAGAAAGAAAGAACCATCTTACCAATGCGGAATTTTGCTCAGGACATAAAATCCAGTGTAGGAGTGTCGATATATCTGAAACAGAATGAAAGCAAAGCTGAGTCAGAGGCTGCAACAAGGATGTCTTTCCACATCACTGAGTCTGGACAAACAATCACTGAGCCCAAACTGGACCTGGCCGCCCAGGCCTGTACTGACTCAGGGTGGCAATTTGTATATCTTGTTGTTTTTATGATTTCCATCATTTGCAGTGGTTTCCAGGGCAGCTGGAGGCTTGACGTCATCTCCACAGCTACCTGGCTTGTGATCAAATTAGGACCACAGATTTCCAGTGTAACTAAATACAGCATGGAGTAACAAGGACCCACAGTCACTGGGGTCCATCACGCCAACCCTGGTTCTGCTCAAGTTCCTGCAAGGTAAGGCCTGTGGGGCTCTGGAATCCTCTCCGTACAATCTGAGGGCAGCACTGGAGCTGGGGAGTGTCTGTCCTGAACCTCTGCACAAAGTGTTGCGGAATTCTGGCTCCTCGCTCCAAGAGGGGAGTCAGAGTAGGAGGCCTTCAAAACAGAGGAGTGTTTCCCAACTGCTGGAACCCCCAAACCTCAGATCTGACTCTCTTGACCTCTTGAGCCAGGAGACTGGTCCCTGTTCCCTAAATTTAATAACATTGCAGGGATACCCCAAGAGAAGGAGAACCACAGTCAGGAAATGTTAGAGCTTTTTGTATAGAGGACTCCCATCCATGTGGGCTTGGGTGGGGGATGGGAGCCCCTATTTCACCCCACTCCCTCTGCTGGTGGGACTCCTCAGAGCTGGTGTCCTGCGTGGGTGGCCAGGGACTGGCACATAAAACTCATTCTAAAGATGACAGATGAGGGGAGGGCAGACATGTGTAACACGCAGCGTGTGCTGAACACGGGATGCACAGTGGCTCTCTGTTGGGACAGGAGCTTGGAGAGGAAAACAGAGGTCTGCCCACCAGGTGACCTGTAGAGAGGGGACCTGTGGAGGGGACCATGTGCCGGGGAGCATGTGGAGGGGAGCACATGTGGAGAGGAGCACATGGGAGCCCATGGAAAGGGAGCTCATGCAGGGGACCATGTGCAGGGGAGCACTGGAAAGTAGCACCTGCAGGGGAGTGTGTGGAGGGGAGCACGTGAAGGGGACCACATTGAGGAGAGCACATGCAGGGGAGCACATGGAGGGAGCACATGGAGGGAGCACATGGAGGGAAGCACGTGGAGGGAGCACATAGAGGGGAGCACGTGGAGGGGAGCATGTAAAGGGAGCACATGGAGGGAGCACGTGGAGGGGAGCATGTAGAGGGAAGCACATGGAGGGAGCACATGGAGGGAGCATGGGGAGGGGAGCATGTAGAGGGAGCACGTAGAGGGAGCACGTGGAGGGAGCACGTGAAGGGAGCATGTGGAGGGAGCACGTAGAGGGAGCATGTGGAGGGGAGCATGTGGAGGAGAGCACGTAGAGGGAGCACGTGGAGGGAGCACGTGGAGGGAGCACATGGAAGAGAGCATGTGGAGGAGAGCATGTGGAGGGCAGCACATGGAGAGCATGTGGAGGAGAGCACGTGGAGGGAGCATGTGGAGGGCAGCACATGGAGAGCATGTGGAGGGAGCACATGGAGGGAGCATGTGGAGGGAGCACATGGAAGAGAGCA